CGGAAGTGCCGCCGGAAGTGCCCGCTGCTTCCGCCCGCGCCGCTCGCGCGCTCCGCCGCCCGGAAGTGGCGGGGGGCCCCGCTTCCGGCCGAGCCCGTGCCAAGATGGCGCCGCTGGACCTGGACAAGTACGTGGAGATCGCGCGGCTCTGCAAGTACCTGCCCGAGAACGACCTCAAGGTGCGGCCGCCGCGGCGGGGCCGGGACAGGCCGGGGCCGGGGCCGGGCGGGCCGGGGCCGGGCGGTTCCGGTGGTCCCGGCGCTGACCCCGACCCCGGCTCGCTCCCTCCCGCAGCGCCTCTGTGACTATGTCTGTGACCTGCTGCTGGAGGAGTCCAACGTCCAGCCCGTCTCCACGCCCGTCACCGTCTGCGGGGACATTCACGGGCAGGTAGGGCCGGGCCGGGCCGCGCTCGGTGCACCCCGGGCCGGGTTTGCTGTCTCTGCCCCTCACGCCTCTCTCCCCGCAGTTCTACGATCTGTGCGAGCTGTTCCGGACCGGCGGGCAGGTCCCCGACACCAACTACATCTTCATGGTACGTGCGCCGGTTGCGGCCCGGCCCCGCYGCCTCTGACAGGGCTTTAGAGCGGAAATCCCGCGGGGCTCCCGGGCAGCCCCGCCCGGCGCTGGGGCCGCTCACCGGCTCTTGGTCACCGGTTCTGGTGGCTGAGAGGCTCCGGGAGCCCCGSGGGGAGGCACAGCACAGCCTCTGCCCTCCTGGGTGTGCCGGGGTTACGGCAGGGCAGTGCCCAAAGCTCCCGAGCAGATCCCGCTGCCCTCAGCGCCGGGTTCCTCTGTGGCACTGAGCAGATGTGGCACTCTGTGCTCTCCCGTGACTGCTGCTCCATGCACCGCTGTCTCTGACCTCAGGGGGACTTTGTAGACCGAGGCTATTACAGCCTGGAGACCTTCACGTACCTCCTTGCACTGAAAGCCAAGTGGCCTGACCGTATCACGCTGCTGCGGGGCAACCACGAGAGCCGGCAGATCACGCAGGTGTACGGCTTCTACGGTGAGT